CCCCCTTTTTTGGCCCCTTTGGGTTTGGCCCCCCCTTTCCCGGTTCGGGGGGAACCCGGGGGTTTCCCCCCCCGTTTTTGGGGGGGTGGGAAACCAATGGTTTAAAAGATTCGGCCTCCCCCGTTGGAGGGTCGTCCCCCCCCCCCCCCCCCCCTCACCTTTCTCCTAGAAAAACGCCTCCCCCCAGTCTCTCCGATTCAGACCTGGAGAAGGCGATCGTCCAAAAGGAGTGCACGTGAACTGAGTACACCCCCCGCCTCCCTTCTCGAAACACGTCTCCCCCCAGTCTCTCCGTACCAGGACCTGGAGAAGGCGACCGTGCTGCAGGAGTGCAGGGTGTTCAGCGACAGCAACGTGGTGACCAACAACCCCCGCCGGTGCGGGATGCTCATCACGAAGCTGCTCTACATCCTCAACACCGGGGAAACGCTGTCGTCGTCCGAAACCACGGAGGTGATTTGATTGATTGGTTGGTCGATGATTTTGCCACGAGAATTTTGTCGTTTATTTATTTATTTATTTTGTTTTGTGCAAACCGCCGTACCTGTGGTTGTCCGAAACCACGTAGGTGGTTGATTGGTTGGTCGATGATTTTTCCACGAGAATGTGTAGTTTATTTATTTATTTTGTTTTGTGCAAACCGCCGTGCCTGTGGTTGTCCGAAACCACGTAGGTGGTTGATTGGTTGGTCGATGATTTTGCCACGAGAATGTGTAGTTTATTTTTGTATTGTTTTATTTTTTTGTGCAAACCGCCGTGCCTGTGGTTGTCCGAAAGCACGGACGTGATTGATTGATAGATGGGTGTTTTTTGGCCACGAGAGTGGGTCGTTTTTGTTTTTCTTATGTTCTTGTGCAAATCACCTGTCTTACCCCCACTAAGGCGATTGATGGTTTTGCCACAAGGACGTATCTCCGTTTCCTTCTGCTTTTGTAAGCGCCACCTTGTATGGCACGTGGGTTGACGTTTTGCACCTTTGCACCACCCTACACGCGTTCATGCGGTGGCCGTTTTTCTAGTTTACAAAGCAGGTGTAGCGTGCCCTTTTTTTGTTCGGAGCGAGCTGTGCTTGTCATGAGTTTGTTCCCCACCTGCAACCGTGACTTGCGTTTCGTTGGCAACGAACGGCGGTCTCAATGTCCCACGTACGCGTTCCCAACTGTATCTATTAGGCCGCCCATGAACCCCTGTTTGGCCTCCCTCCTGCGTGACTCCGGCCGGTGCGTCTTGACATTGTTCCGAAATATGTAAAGACGGACGTCCCAAATTACTCCGCATTCTCCCGCATTTCCCCGCAGGTGTTCTTCGGGGTGACGAAGCTGTTCCAGAGCCAGGACCACAACCTGAGAAGAATGATGTACCTCTTCATCAAGGAGGTGGCGGAAACGTGTGACCCAGATGACGTCATCATCGGTGAGGGGGCCAATAGAAGCCGAAATCGAACCATTCCACAATCGAACCATTCGACTAGTCTGCGCCGACTAGTCTATTAGTGGTTTGATACAACCCAGGCTGAGGTGGTTCTTTTTGGAAGCCGAAATCAAACCATTAGACCATAGGCCAAGTCTAGTGGTTTGAAAGCGTCATCTATAGGGTACTTTACGCAGCCTCATGCGAATTTCATTGTACAGCGGCGTCTTCTCATCGAAGTTGTTCGTTGTTGTGTGTTGTTGGCTAGTCGAAGTGCTGTGTGTGAATTTCGTGCGCCAGCAACTCACGAAGTGGTTCTTGGTCTTTTTGCGATTAGCCGTGGTTTTTGGAAACGTATGTTGACGGATGTGGTGTCGCTTCATCGAGAAGGGGGGTGGGAGAAACGTGGCCCCGAAATGCATGCGGAATATCAAGGAACTGGCGTGTATAAATCATACCACAACTTTTTTTTTACTCCAAGTCCATGATCATAGACATGATTTTGGAAATGCGGTGGCAACAAGGACAACTTGAGGAGCGGAGGGGCCGAGGAGGGGGGGGGGGGGGGGCATCGGTGGCAGCAACACCGACAACGAGACGAGACCACCATTTTACGACAACAAAACAACC